TATGTCCTTTGGCTTCCAAAAATACCATTAAGTTAGTATTTTGAGAGGTGAGGAAAAAAGTTATAGCAAACACTTAGGTAAATGTAAACTTCCTAATTTTAAGATGTCGCTCACAAGATGACTTGGTGCAAGTGTAGCTGGGACTTAGTGGTGGCATGTGCAGGAAGGCTGAGGAAGGGGAATGAGTATTTTTCGAACAGTCATTCTTACCTTACTACTGAAATCAGCCTCTCTAAGTTGAGAACTGCTGTCCGTATATTCCTGAAGGACTTGAAGAAACTCCTGGTCTGGATGTACTACAAATATAATTATATAACTAGAAAAGATATGTATGTAGATCTTTATCTTGAGTTGCAAGATACATGAGATACAGTGAAACTGGTTCCTCTTAGTCCTACTTCAGGTCTGTATAGCTGTTGCCAAACTTGGTAAAGTTGTTAGGAAGGTCATGCTAAAGAACACTTTAAAAGGTGTTTTGAATGATGTATTAAATGAGTACTAGCCTTATAGGTTCACTAGCTCCCAACCCCAAGCACAGAATCACCACAGAACTGTACAAACATTCTGTTTGGAAGAGATTGTGGGAGGTCTCTAGTCCAATGTGTCCTGCTCAAAGCAGGGCCAACACTGAATTAAGACCAGGTAGCTTAGGGTCATCACAGAGAAGGTAGGCTTTTTTTTTTTGCTTTTTTTTTTTCTTTAGGTCAAATCAGAGCCTCCCCAGTGTCAATTCATGACCTTGCCATCTTCATGAAGATGAGTGAAATGAACACGATTAATGTGAATGAATATGGGAAGATGCGGGGGTAGAGAAGGGTAGTGGCTTCACGGGGCTCAGCAGTAAGCTGGCAGGGAGCTTCCTTGTTTGGGCCTTCTGTGGGTTGGGACTTTGGGGTTGACAGGGTGGGACAGTGAAAAAGGTGCAAATGTGAGTGGTGAGGCAGTTTCAGGAGGCAAATGAACAAGGAGAGGGGGAGGCTCAGATGGTGAGGAAAGTCAGTGTTTAGAGAAGGGAAGGAGGACACCAGAAAACTTATTTTTTCTGAATGTTGAAATTCAAACCCATTTTTTCTGGAATGAATTATTACACTTCATTGCAAATACAGGCTTTATTCTGCTCTCACCTTGTATGTGTACACACAGGGTGTTCATTTGAAGTGCTCCAGGCAGTATGTCTCTGTACCAGAGACCCTCTCAAGTTTTGTTGCTGCTTTGAAAACCTTGGAAACGCCAAACAAAAGCTTTTCACTACAGGCTGGTGGTGTTTCAGAGCTTCCGAAACCAAGTCACAAAAGCCTTAATCTTTTAAGCACCCCTTTCTCCCCACCCACCCCACCCCCCCTTTTTTTTTTTTTTTTTTTTGATGTCATCATAGAGTTAAGGAATTCAAGCAACGTTTGACTAGTTGATGTCATCATAGAGTTAAGGAATTCAAGCAACGTTTTTTTGCTTGATGTCATCATAGAGTTAAGGAATTCAAGCAACGTTTGACTAGTTGATGTCATCATAGAGTTAAGGAATTCAAGCAACGTTTGACTAGTTGATGTCATCATAGAGTTAAGGAATTCAAGCAATGTTCGACTAGTTATTGATCCCTTTTGGTTTCTTCACTTACCTGGAGAGATAAATTTTATTGAGAACAACAGGAAATAAACTGTTGTAATTCTGGCACGCGTGCCTGTTGAAGTGTTAGGTTTTGCTAAGGTGTTTGAGCGCTTCAGGTAAGGATTTATGAACCTGCAGTGCCTGGACGAGCTCTGATGCCAAGGCCGTGGTGCGGAGCAGGAGGAAGCACGTCTCTCGGCTGTTTACTGGGAAAATGTACGTACGCACGTATGTTATCTGAAAACCTCAGTGCCAGGAGCCTGCCGTGCCAGGCTCTTACTGAGCTACGCATGCACAGCAAGGAGGTCTGGAGGGTTACAGGAACATGCAAATCCAGACATTTTTAACTCACTATGGTTAGTTACTAGGTATTAGGACTTCTACATTTTTGGGATGGTTCTTTCAGTTACAAGCAGGTTAGATTTTGAATGATCTACATTTCGAACAACATTCTGGAAATACAAAATTTTGTGTGTAGTGTTTGGGTGGTTTTTTTTTTTTTTTCGTTTGTTTTGAGGTGGGGTGGTGGTGTTTCTGAGAACTGACTCTTCACATGTAACATACGAAGTCATTTCCAGAGGCAAACCTTTAATTCCTTCAAAGCTGATGTCCTTTCTAGTCATGGCGGCGAGATCATCGCGCGTTCACGACTAGAATTTTCCGTGAACGCGCCAG